AAATTAGAAGGTTAATGGAGAGATATAATTAGCATAAAGCAATTCAACCCAAGTGAGTTTTGTTTTTATGCGTTACAATCGGAATATAAGTTATATGTTAACTTTTTATGATATGAAGCGACTGGCTGTGAATTTATCTCGCCCATCCTACATGGTCCCTTGTCATCGTTCGAATAATTAACAAGGAAGAAAAACTTTATATATCACTGCAAAAGGATGTATCTGGTGAGGAAGCTTCAGGTCTGTTAATTATGCGATCAAAGTGAAAGAGGATCACATGTGCATCGTTGAAGGTAAACCACGCAATATCAATATTGGTTATCTCAACTTGAGAGTTTATACCATACAAATAAAAGAAGCGTACTGCGGATCAATATTTCATAATAAAGACTATGGATATCTTTATGGGATAGTGCAACGAGTATGAAAAGACTTTCTTATTATACATCAGGTATAAATTGGCATTTCATTGTCTTTACTACCGATGGGCTTTATTGAACTAGGAAAGCGAATATTATATTAATCTCTCGAAAACGGCAATCAAAGAAAACCCTGATATACACCAAAGTAACATTAAGCGGGTAATGGAAATCATTGTTGGGTCATAGAAAACCAATTAGCCTGCCTGATGCCTCAAGTCAATTAGCCTTTCCGGCATTGGAATAATTGGGCGCAGGAAATCAATTAGCTTGCCTGACATTCGGATGGATTGGAAATCAGATGTAAATTATGACATGGTAGTTAGGAATAATGCTGAGTATTCGAATTTTCTATTTCCAGGAACCTCAATCCGGTCGCGAACTTGCAAGGAAATGGAAGAGCGAATGTGGGAGCAAGCAAGTTTACATCCATAGCCGACTTATTTTGATTATGGATCCATATATGGGACTGTCAACGGAACTATAGCCGGTAATACGCTCGTTGCCGGATCATCCGAATCATCTAAGTCAAAAAGAGATCGGGAAAAGGTACAGATGCATTTTATTAGCTAGTGTTGAGAATCAGCAGAAATAGATAATGCTTAAATTGCAAATTTACTTTAATGTTGTCCCTTATTTTTATGTAGGATTAAAAAAATGAGATCGACAACTACTTTCAAAGTCCTTCGAACGACAATCATCCAATCTGTTTTTGCGGAAATCAGAAATAGAACAGGATATTTCTAACGAAACGGGCAACGAGAAGGGCGAGGTAGTATCCACATGCTCAATTATTACTATTCAGATAATTGCTAAATGTGAAAATCTTTATTAGGTCGATCATGAATTACAAGATTCGGATTTGGATACAGCAGATAATGAGGTAAATTATATCTGGCATATGTTGTTAGCTGTAAATGTTTACTATGCTCACCACATCTACCCTGGAAGGAGGCGATCGATGATCAAGGAGAGGTAAAAGAGAAGATCTACAATAAAGTGGCAAATGAAAACCGGTCATATCTTCATTGAGAATTTTAGTACTTTTTATGAATAATAACAAGGAATGCGTAATGAAAATCGAATGGAGGTTGAAAAAGTCTATAGGGCGATGGAAAAAAGTTATATGCGGAAACTTTCATCAGGGTGAATAGTCGAAGAAGAGTTGTTTAAACTCGGAAATAATTTGGAGTTTGAACAGTAAATATTCATGCATGTAAGATTATGTTCATGAGGATTATCATAATAAATTGCAATTTTGTTCTATAGTGCCATTCATTCCTTTATTATTGATGTCAAAGATGAGTTAACTATGGAACATTCACTGTAAAAGAACTTGAGGAATAGAAAGCGTAACTATTCCAGATGTATCCGAACTTTCAAAAGAATTGACGATTTTTTAGGTAATTCCTTAGAAATGTTTCTTTTACACGTTACTAGCAAACATATACAGTATATACTGTAATAAATCACCAAGCTCTTTTCTTTATTGTAGACAAACTTGAACGAGATCCGACAGACAATAAAAGAATCAATGTTCAGTAATGGTTACAACTGTAAGAAGTATCATGATGTATTCTACATACAGTATGTCTTGCTTTATATCACTGTAAGTAGTCATTTTTATTTTTGTCTCTGTGACTATGAGACCGTCTGTACACATATTATTCGTATATGGACCTCGTCAGAGTTCTTGTAAAGGTGGTTGTATATATAATTAGAGATGGGATGTTTCACAAATGAGAGACTTGAGCTTGGTTCTAGAACATCACTCTATTGACTCTTGGTTCTAAAAATTTAGAATTTTAAAACCAAATGGAACCAATGATTTGGTCAATAAAATTAAATGTTGTATTAACCAAATTTTATAGATAACACAAACTGAAATTGGCTTGTATTAAACTTGACTTTTTTCATTAAAAAAATATGGGATGAATAAATTTTTTATAAGGATAATAACTTTATCATAACTTATTTGAAAATAATAAAAATTTATATCAAGAAATTAATCATCTTTTTATGATATAGATTCAGAAATAATTGAATTAAAAATTATTACTTCTGAAAGTTCAATTGGAAGTTTAATATGAAAATATTTTGAAAAAAGTTTATTTAATGCATTAGGTTCAATATATAATATATAATTATATATTTGAATAAGAATTCAATATTTTTTCAATTTATATTAAATGCTAGCTTATCAAAATAATTATTTAAACTATATTAAAAAAGAAATTTTAAATTAATATATTGTTTAGATAGAATATATTAAACTATACTATTTAATAAGGATATAAAGAAAAAATAATAATAATAAATTTTTATATATTTAAACAAATATTTTTCACATTATATTTTTGATATATATAGTTATAAAACTAAAAATTGTTTCAAAAATTTAAAGATTGATATTAGTTTTTAAATATAAAGACTTATTAAATTAAATAAAATATAACTTTTTAAGAAATTATTTCTGTTATTTTTAATAAATATTTTAATAAACTTTGATTAACTTAAGTTATCAAATTTAAAAACAAAATTGTTAAGCAAGATTTAATTTTTATATATTTAATAAGTTATTATAAGATTGTAATTTATTATATTAGTAATTATTTCAATAATTTTTTCAAGTTTTTTATAATATTGATATATAATAATTGTTATTATTTTAATTATTAATAAATAAATTAAATAATAATATAATTTTAAAAAAATATAATTGATAAAAATTTTTATAATTTTTTAAATTGATGATTTATATATATAAGTAATTATTTTTGAAGGCAATAAAAATACTAAATATGATTTTTTTAGTTCCTATTTTTAAACAATACATATATAATGTAAATTTTAGGATTACAATTATAGTAACTGAAAAATTCTTGTCTGCCTTTGAAAAGAATTATTCATATATATATATACAGTGATGATCACGAAAAATGACAATTATATTTTTAGTTATAATTTAATAAATAATTTAATAAATAATTGTTTTTATAATTTAATATTTTATTAATATATTTTTAAAAATATAAGAAAAAAAAACCAATTGAAAAATTTTAAAATAAAATAATAATTTTTTAATATATCCTATTTTAAAGTTAATGATATTATTAAAAAAGTTGATTTGAAAATAAAATTACAAAAAAATTCTTTAAAATTTTATTATTTCTAATTTTAATTATAAATTTATTAAAAATATATATATATATATAGGGCAGAGCCAAAAGTTTGATACCTCAAATGCTATTAAAAAAACTTTATCAAAAAAATAAATAAAAATATAATAAAA